GCCTCTAACATATATGCTAGCTAATAATATTCATGGAGATCCGTAAGCGAACAATTATAGGGAAATAAGATGTTTAGCTTGTCATGACAATCCTTAAAACCGAAACATATTTCCTAAATCCTTACACTAAATTAAACATGGTGCGCAATGGCTAGATACATGAAGGCTTTTAAAAACTACCGTAATTCTATTTTAAACACACACCCTGCTTCTATTTTAAAATAGAAAATTTAATACATTTAATAGTAAATTTAATTAACAATTATTAAGAATTAAAACATTCTAAAATTAGCCTGTGAGCGTCGTATGATTAATTTCGCACGAGACTCTCGCGTTTGCATGACTGAATGTATTAAAGAGCAAATTTCAGGAGCTTTAGGCTATATATGTAAGTGCTGACAAAAGCAAGGAAATTTTTTAAAAATAGACCACTTTTATTAAATATTTAGCAAAATCAACTATTTTGTTAAATATTTAACAAAATCGACATCTTTTTGGCCAACGGGCCAAAAAGAGGTCGATTTTGAAAAACACCCACTGAAAACATACGGGAGTACTAGTCCCGTATGTTTTCAAGCACTAATCACTCACAAAAAACATACGGGACTAGTAGTCCCGTATGTTTTCAGTGGACATTTTTCAAAATCGACCTCTTTTTGGCCTGTTGGCCAAAAAGATGTCGATTTTGCTAAATATTTAGCAAAAGTAGTCTATTTTCAGAATTTTTCCCAAAAGCAATTGAGAGTATATATGTGGTGCAAAGTACGAAAAAACTATAAGGTATTCAGGTGCGTTGTTTGGGATGATTGTGCGACACGGTAACCGTGATAAGCTTGTTGTGTCACCGGTCACTAGCCTGCCCAAGAATTATGAGTGGCATCCTATGAGATTAGGATTTCTAGTTGGTATAAAGCCCTAATCTAGAGCCTTATAGTTCTCTATGATCTCACCCAATAACAAAAGAGTAACGCGGAAAGGATATTTCACGAGAGGCGTGAGTCAACATCCAAGATGATGTTTTATATTTAAAAGCAGGGTACGTCCGCACAATTATTGAAGGGCCTTTATTCAGGGGCATAGCCTCGCGTTTTCTTTTGGGCTTCTTTTGATTATTGAACGCTATCTCTTTTTCAAGTGTAATCGTGATGAATAAAAGATGTACTTTAGAGCAATTCGTGTGAGGCGTGTTTTGTACTACGAATATTTTTAAGTTTTAGGGAAGCTTCCCATCTCATAACGAGATGTTTTTCCACCGACATCACCGTAGAATAGCCTCATATTTAAATTCGGAAAAAGGAGTATTATAAATTATATATACATATATATCATGAAAATTTTATGTAAACCATATTCTGAGATAAATGCATATTAGAACATTTCTTTAAGCTCTTCCAATAATTTTTACTTCGACCGTTCTTGTCCGAAACGAACATATAATCACATGTTACGGACAACATGGAGGAGTTAGTTTCCTAAATAACTCATGTTGAATTTGATTCGAAAGAAAGTTTCATTTGAATCAAAGTAGACTTTATCTTTTCATGACTACTACTCTTCTCCCCTCGGAGAGTTTTTTTTTTTTTCCTCCTTTTCTTTTCTTTTCTTTTTTCCCCCTGTATGCATATCAAGTTTATATTGAGCCCGAGGAAGACAACACGAAGCTTTTACAGAAGTAAAATTAAGAACTCTTATTTAGATAAAGAAGTCACAAAGAGGTAATTTTTCAAAGAAGGAAAAAAGAAGAAAGAAAAAAAACAAAATTATACGTGGGGTGAAAACGAACCAAATATTTAACAAATAGTTCAATATTTATTTACTTAAGTACGGTCATATTCGATTTGATAATTCATTTAAAAATAAACAAATAACTTTTATTATTCGGTTCATAAATGAATAGAATTTAGTCATAGGTATATTCGATTTGTTTGTTTAATAAACTATTCGTTTATACAATTTAGTCCTTAAAATTTCATTTTGATACTTGTAAATGTGGATAAATGAATTTTTATTTGTCAATATTATATATGACTATGTTGCATATTAATCTGGTAAACCATGTTTGGCTCTATTGCAAGACTAGGATAACAAATATTTGTCAAATATCTAACAATATGGACCGAATAATTTGCAAAGATTACCCAAACACTATTAACAAATATTCGTGAATAGTTATTGAATACTGATTTCCTATTCATTTCGAATACAAATACAAAATCAAATAGTCAAAGAGGAACCGAATATGAATACAAATACAAAATCAAATAGTCAAAGAGGAACCGAATATGAATACAAATGCTGGGGTATTCTATTCGAATTCGGTTTGTTTCCACCCCTAACTATACAAGCTCATTTCATTTTCAAACTGAAAAATCACATGCTCGCTATGCATAATGCAAAAGGCCCGTTTTTCAGACAAATAAGTCACACAAGAGGTAGTTTCTTGAGGAAAAATACTATATGATCTCAGTGTATGTTTAATAGTGAAAACTCACATGCTTACTATGCATATGAATGTTTTCTATGCAACGATCCTCATGCTAGATATTAATCAAATTTGCAACAACATTGCTGTGTATATGAAGGATAAATTTCCAACAATTAAACGAACACTTACAAAGAGAGCTGATTCATTACCTTCAGGCCTTATCGTGAAACCAAAAACATGATCAACAGGACCCATGGAATTGTAAGAAAACCGTAGTTTCCCATGATACACAACACCAAAACCTTTGCTTTAGAAAATAGAAGCTTTGCTTGGGACATCATCACCAACAAAATAGTCAAAAATAAAAACAACACAGAGAAGAACAGGCTTGTGACCAAAACAAGGATGCCATCAGCTTCATATAGATTTATATTTCGATTTGCCAAAAAACCTACAATCAGAACAGAAGCAAAATGTAGCATAAAAGCATTACCACCGCAGCTCTGGAAGAGATCGATGTACAGTAACTTGATCTACATTTCCTTAAGGTGAATTAAATACCCAGTAGTAGACTCAAGTATCAGCATAAGTATTTTTTTGGGCATGCTACTCAAATTTCTTGATGAGAGAGAGATCATGCAGCATCTTCTCAATGGCATCATCATCAAGACCACGGCCTTTTGACTGCAGAACCGAGACAACACAGGAGTAAGTTAAATAACGACTTCTCCAAAATAATAAAGTTACAATTTTATAGTATAAAAGACCAATCAAAAACTAAAATAAGGGCATATATAAAGCAAAAGTAATGGTGTAAAAGGAGATAGTCTAGGAAGTATAACTTCAATGAGTCCCCCCAGACCCCCGTCTCCCCAAAGGGGGGGGAAGGAAACAGAGAGATGAGAAAAGAAAGAAAGACTTTGAGAAGCCATGGATATTGCCGGAAGACTTGAGAGAATTGAGCAAGAAATACGTCAGGTGGAAGACGCGGGCGCAGCGCGAAGGGATGGATGTCTGAGCGGTTGAAAGAGATTGGAATAAGTTTGATATGATGACTTCGAGATCAAATAGAATAGTTCATACGCGTTTTCTAACGAATGATCAGTCCGTGCGTGATTCCCGATAATGCATCGCTCCGCATATAATCTTTGCAAAGATTATCTCTCCTCTCCCGTCGGTCGGCGGATTTAGGTTGCTCAATGAGGATATTGACGACATAAATAAAGGGATCCGATCTCAATGGAAGTACAATGATCGGACCTCTTACCCACGTCAAAACCGCAGGGAGAGAGGAGATGAGGAATATAAATAAGAATGTAAAACAGAGTAGAAATATAGATAGAGAGATGAAAGGGTCTTTGTCGGAGCCTGAAATCCATAACAGATCGCGCTATGGATCGGCCATGAAGGGTCTTCAATCTTTTAAATGAAAATTAATTCTCATTAATGCAGAAAATTAAGAGATCTTGAATTCTGTCTATCTACGATGTGACCCAACTTCCCCATAATGGATGCCGACTCCCCAAAAAACGTCGTGTTCAAATAGTTCTGGGAGAAGGACTAACGTCCCCAAACAAGAAGGCGGCCATTTCCCGAGGTAAGATTCCTTCGACCGGAAGGAGTTGGGATTACTGCCTCGGGAGCCCCGCATGGGCAAACCTTCTTATGCGCTGGCCTGGGAAACCAGTTCATAGGAAGGTTTGGCTCAGTCCCCATGTACGCGTGAACTTCTACGAATATTTATCATCCAAGGCATAGCTTTCTTTGGCTTCCGCGGATCGCTTCAATATAGTCTCATGGCTTTGAGGAACCACTCGACCGGGCCTCCCTCTTCAGTTACGGGACTAATTCTTTCCTTTCAGAAGATGTTCCTTCTGGTACCTCGTCCTTTGCCCTACCCTAAGAAAGAAGTGACTATCAAATTGTCCTACTGAAGTACCAAAGGTGTGCTCCGCCCGATTACTCTTAACATGTTTTTTGCTACTGAAGGAAGTAGGGCTCCTATTGACTAAAGGTTCTTCGGTTTCCTTTAGAATGAAAGTCGCTATGAAGCCCCTACTACTGTCGATTCAAAAGGCGAACAGCCCCCCCATGTATGGGTGGGGTCTTTTTGGGAAGCTGCCTTGGATATGAGGAATTCCTAATATATAAAAATAGAAAGAATATTCTTTTTTCATTTTATTTATTTATAAGAATGCATGTATATTTATAATTTTTCTTTTCTTTGTTTATAACAAAGGCGAAGTCCGGTATTTGACGAAAATCTTTCTATCAATAGATAGGAATGAGTCTTCGATATAGGGGATAGGATCCATCTGCTCTTTCTTTCTCTCGAGATTTTTTGTGTCAATTTATAGACTGGCATCTGTAAGAGCTAAAGGAAGACCGTTTGCCTACTCCTACCTAGGGCGCTACTAAGAAAATTCAAACAAAGCACTGAAAAGATAAAAATCAGGGCAACTGCTTAATAAAGTAAATAAGTTGAAACATTTTATGTTTGCACTGCAGAAAATAGTCATATGGTCAACAATTTTAGACAAGATAAAAAATGATAAAAAAAATCAAATGCATCTTGCTAACTAAGATGCCATCAAGATAGCGGGCCCATATGCTTATTTAGATCAACATCAAAGTATTGGATTCACTCACAAAAGGCCCCTATTCTACCACAGGTAGAAATGTTGTGGTCCAACGCCAGTCAAGCACCGACTTATGTAAACAGTAGAATCGAGTTTTAGATCTAATCTATTAAGTATTAACTACGATGTTACAGAAGACGCTAGGTGGACTAGGCGTTTGAACCAACGCCTAAACGCCTAGGTGTACGCTTAGGCAACGCCTAGGCGTTTGGCTATTTTTAAAATTATTTAATTATTATAATTAATAAAAACAAGTATTAAACTCATATAAATTTGTAAAAAAAAGATAGCAATCTTAAATCCACAATAAATTATGCATACTTAAATGCTAAATAGCCAAAAATAATAACTAATAAGGTTATAAAAAACGCTAGGAGGCCTAAGCGTTAGACCCTTCGCCTAGAGTCTAGAAGATTTTTTTGATTTTTTTAATTACAATAATTGATAGTAAATGTTAATGTTATAGAAAGTTTAAGTGTCGAATTGGTGTCTAGGCAGATTTCTTTCTTCATTTAAGTGGTGCAATGTTACAGAAGGCGTAATGCGTACTAGGCGTTTGAACCAGCGCCTAGACACCTAGGTGTACGCCTAGGCAGCACCTAGACATTTGGCGGTTTTTTAAATTATTTAATTATAATAAATAATAAAAATATGTATTGAATTCATATAAGTTTATAAAAAAATAGACAGCGATTTTAGATCCACAATAAACCATGCATACTTAAATGCTAAATAGCTAAAATAATAACAAGTTTATACAAAATGCTAGAAGGTCTAGGCGTTGGAAACCTCGCTTAGAGCCTAGGAAGTTTACTTTTTTTATTTTTTCAATTATAATAATTGATAGTAATTGTAAATATTATAGAGAGCTTAGGTGCCGAACTGATGTTTAGACGGATTTCTTTCTTCATTTAAGTGATGGTCGAGGAGGTTTTGTTAAAAGTCAAAGGAGGTAGTGGAGGTGTCCATATTTGGAGTTTAGGAGTTTGAAAGAGTTTGAAGGAGGTTGGAGGACATGAAGGCTACAACACAGAAAATCACGATCAAGACCTAAAGGGTGCAGTCTACATAAGCAAACAATGCTCCCCTAAACACTCCCAAAACTTAGATAGACAACATAAGTACTGTCTAGGCACTAGGCGCTGATTAGACGTCTTAGGTACTGCCTAGGCCTAGGCGTACACCTAGACGGACTAGACGGAGACTTGTTAAAACAATAAAGTGGTGATCGAGGAGATTTTGCTGAAGGTCTGAGGAGATAGTGGAGGTATTCATATTTGAAGGTTAAAGGAGTTAGAAGGTTGGAGGACGTGGAGACTGCAACATAGAAAATCACGATTAAGATCTAAAGGATACAGTCCACATAAGCAGATAATGCTCTCCTAAACACTCCCAAAACCTATGTGGGTAGTCCAGGTACCGCCTAGGCGCTAGACGCTAGTTAGGCGGCCTAGGCACCGCCTAGGCGTAGGCCTAGATACAGTCCACATAAGCAGATAATGCTCTCCTAAACACTCCCAAAACCTATGTGGGTAGTCCAGGTACCGCCTAGGCGCTAGACGCTAGTTAGGCGGCCTAGGCACCGCCTAGGCATATGCCTAGGCGGCCTAGGCGTAGGCCTAGGCGTAGGCCTAGGCGTAGGCCTAGGCGGACGCCTAGGCGGACGCCTAGGCGGACTAGACGGAGGCTTTTTAAAACAATGAATTTAACTACACATCTAATCACTTATTTGTCAATTGAACTAATCGCACCTCTTATTTTCTTTTACAAAACTCATCAATGCTAAACTAATTTCACACATTTGACTGGACATGGGACACATATTTTAACATACAGTAACACATTATAACAAGTCTTGGTTAACCAGTAGGCCTAGATGATGTAAGAACAACATCAAGCCAATCTTAGCTTTTAACCCTCACATAAGATGAGGGAGATCAAGTACCAACAAACAAGTCACAAGGATAAGATGATGGTGTCTTTTCTCAATTTAAGATGTGAGCACAACTTGACATTCTAATCTAATCTAAAAGATCTTGCTCCGCGCCTCAGGCACAAGCAAAGTGATATTATATCTTACCGCCTTAAATATTGCCAGGCAATTGAGGGTTCTAAGGCAAGCGCCTTTTGCAACCTCAAGAGCTCGCCTTGGCGTGTGCAACAAGGAGTGGAAGTTGCATGTCTCCATTTTAAAATTTTGAGTACAAGAGGTCTCGGATTAAGTAAAGTTTGTTTTTTTTTTTTTGAGCTTTTGCAATTTTTGTTGTAATGTTCCTTACTGCCGATAAATACATCATTTTAAGGACATGCAACAATTTTACACTTGAAAGTTGACTTTGTTTACGTTAGCAGTAGCTAGTCAGCATTAGGATTCAATATTTGCTACTTACCACTTTAATGAGATGGTTTATATCTTGTTAGGTATCAAGAGTCATGACTTCAAAAATTCAGTTATAAGTAATTTGTTAGGTTGCAATTTATTGATATTGTGTTTAATTGCATGTTATTTGCAATGTTTATGAATTTTTTGAATATTTATCGCCTGGTTCACTCTAACAGACGTCTTTTCTGATGACTCTCACCTCAGGCAATATAGGACCCTAGCCTACCTCATTGCCTGGACCTAGCCTTTCACTTCTAAAACACTGCTTGTTAGTCAACAGGCAATTTTTACAAGAAAATATTCATGGCTCAGAGCAGATCTATATGGAGGCAAGGTCTGGTAACCCTATATTGAATCATGTAACTTCTGTTTCAGCCCCTTCTGAAGATACCCAGTCCAATTTTAGTAATTACGCTATACACCATAAACCCTTTTTCTTTCAAACAATTAGAGGTCAAAAATTTCCAATCGACATATCCTTGTGAACAAATACAATCTATTAAAAAAACATTTCTACGACTTTCCATTCAAAGTACCAAAGACCCACGTAAAGTTTATTGCAAAAGAATGAGGACTTACATAGATAAAAATCAATAGAAAAGTGCATGCTTTACTGCAAAGAGGACTTACATAGATAAAAATCAATAGAAAAGTGCATGTGAATACTACCTTCATAGACGGGACCATAGCTATAGCTTCCTCTACGGTTTCAGGACAAAGATTGCCAATAACAACAAGCTGCATTATTCCAGATAAATATGAAAATTAATATCTAATAGAAAATCTGAAAGCCCAACTTGAACTGCAGATCTATGTAGATGTAAGTATTCATACCTCAAACTCGGTCAACTGATACCGGCTTAGAACTCTGGCACGGAATCAAGGAAATTTTGGATCACAGATATCTCGTACTTTTGCACAAAAGATTAAAATTTAAAAAAAAAAAACTTAAGACATTAAAAGTGCCAGAACCAAATATAATACCTCAAAGAATATTTATTCAAATATTTGTACTGAACTATTTATGTAAAAAAGGATACTCTCGAACTTGTGTAACTGCATCGTTATTTTTGAATCGGCTAAAGCGCTTCACATACTGATGAGATTTCTCAAACACCCTGAAAAAAGAAAGTAAACTTAAGTAAAAAGAAACTCAGAGAAAAGAAACAACCAAGAAATCATGTGGCATCAACACCTACTGCGAAATTTGGTTCGAAGGATCATCGGAGAATTGCTGAAGTTGATCCAATCTCTTATCAAGAATCCTCGCAACTTCACCATTCATCAAGCATTTTGCCTTCAGGAACTCTATACAACAATATAGCAACATTTCAACAAACAAAAGCCCCAAACATTTCTCATACTCTCAGTTTCATTTGATGATATTTAGTGTTTTTGTGCTAACAAAAGGCAAGCAATTAGGATTTAACTCTTGAAGAGAAATGGAGGACTAAACGCAGATTTTTTTTTTTTTGAGTTACTCAATAAATAAAATTGGATACTTCTTAAAGATAACAAAACTCGGGCAATTAGGGTTTCCGCCTATGATAAAATCCTAAGATTAAACGCAGAAATAAATTGAGATATCAAAAAAAAAAATTAGGTTTTTTTGAGCTAATACAACTCGAGACGTTAGGGTTTGCATCCAAGAGAATTTAGGGTTTGCATCTAATTATGGTTTTCAAGCTAATAAAACGAAATCAATTAAGGTTTTCATAAAATAGAACAAAAAAAAAGCCGAGGGGATTGAACAGCGAAATTAATTGAGATCAGAAACAAACCATCGCCGATTTTGAGCTCGGCTGCGTTTTCTTCCTCCTCTAAAGACATCGTAGCAGACTCGCACTTAAGTGTTCGATCTTTCGGAAAATTTTGAGAGCGCCCAAATTTGGGGGTTTCTTCTCGGGTAAAACGGGTTATATTGTATCTTGATCCACTAACCCTAATCCGACTCGTATCGGGTTTGGGTCCATAACGTAACGGTAAAATTATTAATTATACCCAATAACTTTTTATTTATAGACTAAAAATGGTTTTTAAGACACTACTCCCTCACATCTTTAATAGTTCCATATCAGTCTCTCCGAAGTCCAATAATTGAAATTTCATAAGTTCATCAAGTCCTCAATGGTCTTACAACAAATTGGTATTTCATGGCTCTCTGTGTGGGGTGGGGGGGGGGGGGGGGATTAGTTAGTGTCAAACAAGTTAGAGGAGCATAGTAAGGAACAACCCA